TATCTTGCAATTGGGTAACAATTCACTCACTGGACAGATCCCTCCAGAACTAGGTAATTGCCAGAGCCTCATTTGGCTTGACTTAAACAGCAATGCCCTATCTGGAAATCTACCACTTGAGCTTGCCAACCAAACTGGCGCGGTCCTGGCTAACGTTGTTTCCGGAAAGCAATTTGCGTTCATAAGAAATAAGGGTGGAACAGCATGTAGGGGTGCTGGAGGTTTGCTTGAATTTGAGGGGATACGAGCAGAGAGGCTTGAAAGTCTCCCAATGGTTCATTCTTGCTCATCGACCAGAGTTTATTCTGGCTATACTGTTTATACTTTTTCTAGTAATGGTAGCATGATCTACCTTGATCTCTCTTACAACTCCTTGTCCGGAACTATTCCTGAGATTTTTGGTGCACTGAGATACTTGCAAGTCTTGAATTTGGGACACAACTCGCTAACTGGAGATATTCCTGACAGCTTTGGAGGTTTGGAAGCTATTGGAGTTTTAGATCTCTCTCACAATCATCTTCAGGGCTATTTGCCAGCTTCATTGGACACTCTTAGTTTTCTCAGTGACCTTGATGTTTCCAACAACAACCTCACTGGTCCAATCCCCTCTGGAGGTCAGCTAACCACTTTCCCAGCATCCAGATATGAGAATAATTCAGGCCTTTGTGGGGTACCAATGCCTCCGTGTGGCTCTGGAAGCCACTCAACAGACGTACATACTCGGGGAAGAAAGCAATCTGTGGCAACGTTAATGGTGATTGGCATCATATTCTTGAGTATCCTTGCAATTATATTAGCAGTAGTAATCGTCCGATTCCCATTACAATCGAGAGAATTACGACGAGATGGAGAGAGTTAGAGAGAGATAGGAGAGAGAGCAATTGCTTGCAATTGGTAGCAGAAAGACTCTCCAACCCAAATCCAACCTCCTCCCTTAGGATTCGACTTGAGATCGGAAATGCACTTATTTTTGCTTTGTGGTGGGCGTATTCGCTCCAAGCCCCTCAGACCCATGTGTACACAAAAAATCTGGGACCAACAATAACAAAACAGTGGTTGCATTTTGCATATGCCATTGCCATATATAATATAAAAAATGGGAATATGGTATGAATTTTAAGACGACACTTAATTATTGTTGATACTAAAAAGACAATACTTAGTTATGAAGATTCAATCCTAGGGTCGCCGATAATAATATTGAAAATGTTAAATGTTAATTTAAATTCTTAAATTTTTAATTTTAAATAAATTTAGTGTCTTTAAATATTTTTTATATTTTTTTACATTAATTATAAAAATGATAATTTTTTTAATTATTCTCTCAGTTTGGTCCGTTAAATTTATTCAATAGAGAATAGCAACTAGTTATATAAAAAGTCTTCATTTGTTGTATAGAGAATTTTCCTATAACAACTTATTTAAAAAATATATAAATTTATTTGTTTTAATTAAGTAATATGTTTTTATTGATTTTAATTAATATTTTATACTTCTTTTGTTTATTTTTAATAGAATTAATTTAATTTTTTAGCTTTTAAAACATAAATTTTATATAAAAAGTCTTCATTTGTTGTATAGAGAATTTTC